AGGGTTACTGCTTCAGTCTGGGAGCTGGTGCTGTGTCGTGGAGGTCTACACGGTCGTCGTCTGTGGCTACTTCCAGTGCAGAGGCAGAGATCTACGCTGGTGCCATGGCGGCACAGGAGCTTCGCTGGTTGACCTTCTTGCTCGCTGACCTTGATGAGCGGCCTCGCTCTGCACCGACCTTGTACGCTGACAACAAGGCCATGATCCTCCTGTGTCGAGAGCCTCGACTGGAGAGCAGAGTGAAGCATATTGACGTGAGGTACTTCCTCCTGCGAGAGCTGCATCGACGCGGTCAGGCACGCCTGGACTTTGTGGCCTCAGAGGCCAACACTGCAGACGTCTTCACCAAGGCCTTGGCGCTTGGTGACCACCACAGGTTCTGTGTGCAGTTGGGGCTTGTTGAGGTAGGCCCTCGGTTGGTGTAGTCCTGTTGCTTGCTCTGCTTGTTGTGCTTTGTATTTATATCCTAGTGAACTCTTGAACTGGCCTTGTGGCCGCTTGCTTGCGCTCGGAATTTGTGTGGTGTCCTTGAGATCCACCCTGAGCTTGCCTTGGTTCTTGGTTTGACTGGTCTTGTGACCGTTTGTTCACCTTGCTTGCTTTGATGCCCCTCACTTAGCCTATGGGGGTGTGTCAAATGTTGAACATTGATATGATAGGCTATAGTGAGTTGCACTCTAGGGGGTACAGCTTCTAGGGTTGCTCATTTGTACCCCATTCGTTTCTATTCCAATCATTCCGTTGTTCGCTAACTTTGAGACACACCCCACTTGATCTGCAGCAAAAAACAGCGTTGACTTGGCAGCAGAGTATGGCACTTGGTAGCTGCAAGCACATAGAGCAGAGAACAACACTTCAGCAAGCCAAGCTCCTAAGGAAATACCTAAGCAGACTGCGTAGATGTCACAGAGGGTTATATGTACCAGAATGTACGGTACATGGGATAGGATATTGCACGGTTCACTGTTCCCAAAGAAATTTTACCACGAGCGCCCTTCAAGTCGACAACCTCCTCTTCATTACTTTCGGCTTCTTGGCCTTCACACCTCCCACTTTACCCCCTGTGCTCCCTCTTCTCCTCTTCCCCTTGCCCACCTCCTTATCCCCTCCTCCCTCCTCCCTTTCCACACCCTCCTCCTCCCCTTGCCGTTCCACCACCTTCACAGCCATTTTCGTCGGCAAATCAACCTCCGCCATGTAGATGGGCAGAGCGAGCGAGTCCGTGGCTCGTATATGCAACGAGCTCACATTCTTCCATTTCTTCGGCACATGCTCCACCGCCCCCGCCACCACCGCCATCACATTCCCCACAATCTCCGCCTCGCTCATGCCGAACCTCGCCGCCCGCACGCTCATGGACGGGCCCCCACTCACATACAAGTACGTGCTGTCGCACGCCTCTCGCACACTCTTCGCCCACTCCTTCCCCCGGAGCTTCACAGGGATGGGGTGCTTCTTCTTCTTGAAGAACTTTGTGCCAATAAGGGGGGGCAGCTGGTGGATGATGTCAATATCGGCCAGGAAGAGGTCGTACGAGCCGAGCAGTTGCCGCTTCGCCTCGTACTGCTTGTACTTGGTGCGCAGCTTGGTCAGCCCGATCACCTTAGTGATGCCGGCTGAACCCTGGGGAGTTTCAAAGGTGGTGTGGGGAGGGAGGGAGGGAAAATAGGGCATGTTAAGGGGCTTCGCCTCGCACTGCTTGTACTTGGTGCGCACCTTGGTCAGCCCGATCACCTTAGTGATGCCGGCTGAACCCTGGGGAGTTTCAAAGGTGGTGTGGGGAGGGAGGGAGGGAAAATAGGGCATGTTAAGGGGCTTCGCCTCGCACTGCTTGTACTTGGTGCGCAGCTTGGTCAGCCCGATCACCTTGGTGATGCCGGCTGAGCCCTGGGGGGATTAAGGAAGGGGGGGGAAGGGAGTAATGCTCGGCCACGTACTGTTTTTACTTAAAGCGCAGCTTGGTTAGGTCAATCACCTTGGTGACCCGTGCTGAACCCTGGCGAGTGGTAGGTGGGGGCGGGATAGGAAGAATAAGGCATGGTGAGGAGCTTGGCATCGTACTGCTTGTGATTGGTTGGACTCATCAGCTTAGTGATCCCTGCTCGAATCTGGGAGAGAGATGCAAAGGTGGAAAGGAGTAGCGAAATTAGGGCACGTTGCACGATTGGCCTCGTACTGCTTGTGCGAAGCTTCGTCACGCCTGTGACTTTGGTGATGTCCGCTGGCCAAACGACAGCCCTGAGCTAGAGCGAAGAGGGGAGGATGTGTGGGGTTGGATAAGATGGGGTAGCAGGGTGGAGTAGGGTAGAATGAGGCGGGCTATGTTTGCCTTTTCTGATGACGTTTGCACACAGTGTGGTCCGCGCGAATGCACGCATGTCCGCGTGCGTCCGCGTGTGTATGCGCGAGTCTAAAAGAGCTTAAGTGAGTTTTCAGTTCATGCATTCACGTGGGAATTCTGCTACCATGCTGCGACGTGTATAGATGGATATGCCAAAATTACGATGCTCGTATTCAGGATTTCACCCTTGCGAAGAGGGACATAAATGATTACGCGCATGGTGATTTACGTCCCTCCAGCGACCGACGATACCCTCTTAAAACCCGCGCCGCCTTCCCCGTTTGAAGAGAAAATCCAGAAACCTCCGTGACCCGCTTGTTCCTCACACACAGCAATAGAACCATTCTTAAACCCCAGCTTCCCCAAAGCCCTCTTAGTGTGAAGCCTCGCTCTCCGAACGACGCACTGACCTGCTTGAGGAAGTTCTCCTTGGACTTTTTGTGGCCGCCCTTAGGGTCGTCATTGACCAGCAAGCAGACCTCCTTGCCCGCATCCAATGGATACAGCGAATGCGGGATCGGCAGGCGAAACCCGCTCGTCTTGGCGAAGTCTGGCGAAGACTTGAGCCCGATTACCACATGAATCAGCTCGTCGTCGTCCTCCGCAAAAAGCTCGTGTTCCGATTTCGCTTTTCGCCGCGCGGTCATCCATTTGACTAACGACTGCACGGCTCGCTCCACCTGCCCGTGATCCACGCGATTAGGGCTCTCAGCGCTCGTTCCCTTGCCCGCTGCCATGGCAGCAAAGAAAGCAACTAAGGCAGGCAAGACTAGCTACTCGCTGTCTCAATGGATCAAATCACCTAGGCTGGTTCGGGAGGCGGTAAGGGGTCAAAACTGCAAAGCGAGAATGTCGTTGGAGGGTTTAGAGGGAAATGCGAGGTGGGTTCACTGAAGATGTCCTCGCTAAAAAGAAACAGCATTGGAAAAATTGTAAGGACGCGTCAACTCCCATCAAATTGGCAAGATCGGGTGGGTTCGGTTCTGCACACCGATCTATCGCCACACCAGTGTTCCCAACAGCTGATTTGCGATCGAGGGGCTCCATCGAGCCACAGGTGACAGTTTGAAAAAAATCTGGGGGCAAATTTTCACGATCGCCACGATACTGGCCATTTTGCATGTTGCTGTACAAGAAACACTGACGAATCAGTATGGTGACGTGAGTCACACTGAAACGGATTTGACCGCGTGGGGTGGGGGGGGGGGGGGAGGGGGGGAGGATAGGGTGCGCGTGTACAGTCTGTACCTTCCGGTGATTCACGAAACCCCACCCACCCACACACTTGGAGTTATTTCGCATGCGCTGTACAGATATGCACGCCGAATGAAGTGTTTAGCCTCGCTGAAACCTACCGTATCACAGCAGCAACGCCACACACCTTGTACTGGTGTTTCAGCTGTTATTTTTTTTACACTGTTGGTTCAGCGAAGGAGAGGGCGAGCTATGGGCTGGAGATGGGGAAAGGGGGGGGACATGGCAGGGGGGATCAGGCATAGGGCCAGGGGCGGGTCAAGGGTAGGCGGCTGGAGTAGGTGCCAGGATGTTTATTGGGTCGGCTAGGAGGCAGGATCACTTGCTTGCTTGCTTGCCCGTGTGATGGCTTGACTGCTGGTGTGCTTCCTGGCCTGCTCGTATGTCTGCATGCTCACATGGTGGCTTGCTCCTTTGTCCGCTTACCTGGCGGCCTACTTGCTGGTTGTCTCTCTGCTTGGTGGTTACCTTGCTTGCCTGCTACTGTTCCGTCTATGCAGGACTATCAGTCTGGAAGTTGGTAGTAGACTGCTTCCATGCCTGTATCCTTATGAACCCATCAATGAAGGACTGCCTCAGAGAGATGGCTTGGGGTTAGTCCTTAGCCATTTTTCAGCCTCTTATTCCTAGTCCTTAGCGGTTTTCAGCAGTGTTTCCATAGTATAGAGGTCCCAGTTCCATGCCTGGTGAGCTCATTCTTCACCGGTCAGTTCGGTTCACTCTCCAAAACCGGCGGCTCGCGCCGGCCACCTTCGGCGGCCGCCGTTCGTTGGCGCGTCCTTCGGCCGCGCGTGAGGGGTGACAAGAGAAAAGAGCGACAAGCATAACAAGCGGCAGTACAACATGCAGCCGTAAAACAACAACTACAACTACAACAACACCCTCAGGCGTGAATGCACCGCCATGGGGAAGCCTAAGGCCATGCCTGCTACCAAGGGGGCCGGCAAGGGAAAGGCGGCTGCTACTCAACAAGGATCCAACACAACCTCCCGTCCAGCCACTGTAGGATGGATGCGGCTGCTGCTACAAGGTCGAGTGGTTCCTCCCGGGCAGAATCGGCAAGCCGCGCCAAAGCTTCAGAGCCGGCCCAAGGGCAGTCCCAGGGGATTCCGGCACAAAGCCAAGCAGTGGGAGATAATGCTGCACTCCTCCGCTGCCGACACCGCCGCCGACTGCTCTGCAGGCTGCATCCCCTCGATCTACACCCCCTGGTGCGCTAGGGTCGCGTGAAGCTGGTCGAGCACATACGACAGGAGCGTCAAGCAAGTCCCCACGTGCATCACGCGCTACTCGACGCGAAGAGGTAGCTCGCCAGGAACCACGGCACAAGGAGGTGGCTGGGTGGGAGGCGTCACCGGCTCCCGCGGACGGTGCACATGGGGCTCGCCATACAAGTATCGAGGGAATGACGTCAGGGCCGGTACTGCCTGAGGGGTTGGAGCGTGTAGGAGAGGTGACGGAGGAACGTGGGACATCCAGGGACGAGGCTGCCACGGCTGGGGGGGCAGGGGAAAGCGACGTAGCGGTGACTAGGCCGGCAGCTGCTGCGTTACCCCGGGTGGTGGCTGCTGCGGTGCCTGAGGCGGCTGCTGCTGCCGTGCCTGCAGCGGAGATGGTGGCGGGTCCGGTGCCTGCTGGCGGTTCTGCTGCTGCCTTTGGCAGCGGCTCATCTTCACCCTCTGCCACCCAACAGGTGGCACAGTCGCAGGCTGAGGAGACGAGGCTGTGTGCAGATCCGGAGCAGACCGGGGAGGTGGCGTTGTCCGCGTCACCGGCACCGGTAACGTCGACTGTGCTGGCGGCGGTGGTGTCTGCTGCGACAGGGGAGCAGGGCGGAGTCCCGGCGGCGGAAGGCGCCCCGACTGCCGCTGCGTGCGCCAGAACGCCTATTGCTGCAGCGGCCGCAAACAGGCAGGAGCATGGCCAGGGGGAGGGTGAGAGTCTGGGACCCGCGAACAGCGCTGCTTTCGGCGCTGTGCAGGCGAAGTCGAAGAAGAATCTGCGTGCCCAGCCAGCGCCGAGACGGCCCGGAGCAGGGCTGGGGCCTGGCTTCTCGGGACCCCTCCTGGGCTGGGTTCTGCAAGGGCAACCGCCACCAGTGCAAGCGTGTCCGTCGTCATCTGCGCAACCGCATGCGGCGGGGGGAGGTGGGGGGGGAGGGGTTCGGATTGAATGAAGCAGAGATCACAACAACCCGCCAAGCAGCGACGCCAGTTTCTAACCGGGAAAACGAAGCACGGGTGAACTCATCGCCAAGCCTAGTTGCCCCAGCTACTGAAAACGTCGCCACCCGGTGCTCGGCGAGGCTGGGCACCGTCACGTGGGGTTCTCCAAGGGGAGGTCGCACGCCGTGGATGCCGACGAGACGCGCGGGACTGGAGGCCACGGTCCAATCTGTGCGCCGGTGGTAGGCCGTGGTTTGCGCGGAGCCAACCGCGGAAGGCGAGGGTGGGGGGGGGGGGGGGGGGGGGGGGGGGGAGGTGTCACGCGCCTGGGGGGGTCTGAGATCCAAGCGAGAACGGGCCCTTGGCGGGAATGCCACGATTTCCCGGAGCGTACAGACGCTCCAGCCAATGGGGGTGACGCTGACTCTGCCGAGGAGAGAGAAGACCCCGAGTTTATGTGTGATGAGGAACTGGAGCCAGAGTCAGAAGATGTTTCACTGGAAAACGAGGAGGAGGTGGGAAGGGGACGGAATCGAGCGAGGGGCGTGGGAGAGAGAGTGGACGGAGTAACATCCCAGGATGCGGGAGTGACTATACCAGTTGCTTCGGTCACCAACGAAGTGAAGTCGCCAGCCACCCTGGCAGAGGATGATGCCATCTGGCAGGTGGCAGGCACGTGGACCATGGATCTTCTCCAACGGATGGACCAACCCTTCCTAGTCAGACGGTTGCCACCCCAGGTGTTGGATAAATATTGCCTGTGCCTCCTCGCACCACTCCTGCGGCTATCAACACACCCGGAATGTCCTGGTGCATGGGCGATCATGCTGTACCTCCCAAGGCTCACACTACATCCGTCACCAGAGCCAGTAACTGGCAGCCGATGGGCATCAGTTGAGCGGGTGCTCTCCTTAGACTTGAAAACGACGACGAGGGCGTTTGCACAAGGGCAGAAACTTTGATTAAAAAGAGTAGCACTTTGAAAACAGTTGCAGTGTTATGCACGAGCCCCCTCGCCAAACCTAACGTGGCGACGGTGACTGCCCTGCGAGCAAAACACCCGTCCTCTAGCACTCCAACGCCGGCCCGGGTTACTGAGATCACCGGCTCCGAGATCAGTGTCCCGCTGGAAGCCCATCGCGGAATCCTCGCGAAGTGCCCAAATGGGGTAGGAGCGTGACCCTCGGGCTGTTGTTTTGAACACCTGCGAGACCCAGCCCTGGCGATTGAGGAAATCCTGCTGCTCCTGGCGAACGTGGTTAACCGTCTCGCCAGTTCATTCCAGAGCCAACTAGTCCGCGACCTACTACTCCCTTCCTGTCTCATAGCATTAAAGAAGCCTGGGGGAGGAGTAAGACCGATCGCAATGGGAGAGGCACTACTTCGCGTGGTGGCAAAAGCAGCTCTACACAGCTTAGGCCCGCAGATTCGAGAGTTCTTCCTTCCCGTTCAGTTCGGCATAGCTATCCTGGGAGGTGCTGAATGGATTATCTACACGGTCCGGTCCCTCCTCAAAGAAGACGAGACCCGCACATGTGGAGAATGCGTTCAATAGCGTTGAGCGCGCGTCATTTCTCTCCGCCCTCCAGTGGTCTACACCCAAGGCTCCCGCTCGTCCGAAACCTCTATGATGTACCCTCGCGCCTTTTGGTGGGCCCACGTCTCGGAGTAGAACACATCCAGAGTTCCAGGGGTGTTCGCCAAGGGGACCCGCTAGGGCCCCTTCTCTTCGCGGCGGCTATCCAACCCATACTGCTTAGTGTGGCCACGAGAGTCTCGGAGGTGGCGGTAGTAGCAAATGCTGACGACATCACCATGGCCGGGCCCCGTCTAGCAGCATGCGTAGCTTTCAACACGGTGGTGGCGGAGCTTGCTTCATGCGGATAGCGGTGAAACATCAGTACGTCAACGGCGTGGTGTGCCACGAGGGAGGAGGGGGGAGATTATCTACCGCACTGTCTGCCTGTTCACCCATGCGGTATAAGGGTGTTGGGCAGTCCCATCGACAGCGACGCTTTCTGCACCGAACAGGTTCGGGCGGCTCTCACGGAGGAAGCTGCGCCGCTACCCCTCATCTCCCAATTTAACCCGCAGCATGCCCTCCTCATGCTCTCCCGTAGCATCTCCCGCCGCATCTCGTACCTACTACGCACAACACCGGCGGAGGCACTAGCTCGTACGGAATGGAGGGAGTGGAGCGAGGCGTTGGTAGGAGCAGGGCTCACGGCATCGAAGCTACAGATCCCGTCGAGCGAGCTAGAGCAAAGCCTACTCTGGCTCCAGGCAACGCTCCCTGTTTGGCTGGGGGGCCTGGGAATCATTCATCCCATCTCTGAAGCCCCGGCCACGTACCTCGCCTCGACTGCAGCGGCGCAGCTTCTACTGCAGCAGCTGAACCTGCCGCCAGACTACCTACTTCACAGGGCTAGGGAACTGCTCTCCCCCACATGGACCCCACCTCCCCCCCGGGTGAACCCGCTGTCCCCACTCGAGGCAAGGCTCCCAGCACAGGCACAGGTGGTTCTACGCAGCTACAGGGAGAACCACACGCGGGCAACCTGCAGTTGGGGCTTTCCAAGGCCATTAACCATACGCGGACGGATGAGCTACTGGCGGATACTATTGTTGACAGGCCAGGCGTGGACCGGTGCCATGCTATTCGGCTCATTAGTCTGAAAGGAGTGGGAGCCGGTGACTGGCTTCATGCAGTGCCCACGAGGGCTGACCTTTCAATATCCCCTGGTCAGTTCTCCATAGCACTAGGCTTGCGCCTTGGCATAGAGCTGCCGGTAGCGGAGGTCTGCCCTTGCAAGAGATCAAACTCCACAATAGCCGACAAGAGTTTGCCGCACCACCTCCTACGTTGTGCGGATGGCGGAGACGCCGTCCGCACCCACAACGCCCTGGTCCATGCTGCTCTGCGCATGGCGCAAGAGGCGGGGTACAAGACTTTTCACGAGACGACCGCTTTCTCGCCCCCTGTCCTGAGCAGATGGGCCGACCTTGCCATCAGGGACCAGGAATCGGGCGAGACTTGGGCTACGGACGTGACAGTTACTGACCCGGTCCTGCAGAGGAGGGATGTGAGGGCCCGGAAGCCGCCAGGATGGGCAGCTGAGGAGGCTTCGCAGACAAAGCACCGACTCTACGAAGGGCGTCCTAGCTACGTCGGTTTATTCGGCCTGGCGGTTGAGACCTATGGGGCTCTAGCAGCCGACACCCAGCAGTTCCTCCGTATGTTGGCTACCTATGCGGCAAAGAAAAAATACCGCCAGGGGCGCCTCACTACCACTGCAGCCCGCCTCAACGCACAATACCGGCAGCGGTGGTCGGTGATGCTCCAACGCAGCCAGGCGACTTCACCCCTCTCTAAGTCAAACCGGGCAGCAGAAGCGGCATTCCCACAGGCAGCAGTGGACCCCTGGGCCCCTCGGCTGGGGGACCTCTGGCAGATGCGGGGAGGACGAGTATGAGGAGCGTCAAGCTCCTGCTATAGCGGATTAGGAGGCCGGGGATTGAAGGAAGGCGGTGGCAGGGAGATGTTAGGTAGCGGCAGGGAAGGGGATTAAGGACTATGAGTCAGGAGCGAGGTGGGAAGACCAGGAGTAGGAGGAATGTGGGACCAGTGGCCTCGGTGCTGGCCGGTTGGGGTGCCTTCGTATGTGGTGTTCAGTGTGCGCACACTCCGACGATGTGGCATCACTTGTCTTGCTTGCTGGCTTGTTTGCTCGATGGCTTGTTTGCTTGATGGCTTTGCTATCTTAGCCTCACGTTCGCATACATGCTTAGACAATCTAGTAGCCACCACCTGCCATGCTTGTACCTTATGAACCCTATACATACATGAGTGGCTTAGGAGGCCGGGGATGGCTTGGGACTAGTCCTTAGCCGTTTTTTATAGCCTCTCTAGCCTAGTCCTTAGTCCTCAGCCGTTTTCAGTAGTGCCTCCCTAGTATAAAGTCCCTAGTTCCTTGCCCATGGGGCTCATTATTCACTGGTGAGTTCAGTTAACTCTAAAAAAACTGGCGGCTCGTGTGAGGTGTGACAAGGAACGGGGGAAGGCAAGCATTATAACAGGGAGCGGTACAACATGCATCAGTGACAATACACAACAAGAACAACACCCCTAGGCGTGGAGTAACCGCCATGGGGAAGCCCAAGGCCAGGCCGGGAACCAAGCAGGCGGGCAAAGGGAATGGGGCCGCTACTCGGCCAGGATCCAACACAACCGCCCGTCCATCCAGCGCAGCACGGATGCGGGGACTGGTACGATGTCCCGTGGGGCCTGCAGGGCGGTAAGAGAAAGCCGCCTTAGCGAAGCGGGGCCAGGCCCCAAGGCGGAGCCAGGGGAGCCAGGCACCAATCCGATCGCAGGCAACATCCGCAGCATCTCTATCGCCGCAGCTTCCTCCTGCTCCAGCTGCCACATCGTTGGAGGAACATCCTCAGGACGTGACAGCTGCATCTGGTATGCATGCAGTTGGTCTAGGACCATCGCCAACAGGGCCAGGCAAGTCCCCACTTGCCCAACGCGCTGCTTGACACGGCCTCCCCTGCGGCTGGAGGGGAGCTCGGCGACGAGGTCTCGTCCGGAGACAGCGGGGAGGGGGGATCAGGGTCGACAGAGGGAGGATGTGTCGGCGGCGGAGGTGACGGCGGCGGTGACTGCACAACTTGAGCGTCCCCCGCCATCGGCCGGCACTAGCGGAGGCGGTTGCGCCTGCGACTGGAGCGGCACCGCCGGCACAGGAGAAGGTTGGCGCCCGTGATTGCTGCTGCTGCCGCTGGTGCTGGCGACAGCTCAACTGCACCCTCTGCCACTGCCCCGGTGGCACCGCCGCTGGCTGAGGAGTGGGCACAGGCGGCGGAGCAGGGACAGGTAGAGGAAGCGGCGAGGGCGGCGCCACCGGTACTGGTGGCTGGGGCTGTGACGGCTGCTGTAGCGGGGTAGGACGAAGGCCGGGCCGAGGAGGGTGTGACGGCTGACGCTGCGTCCGCCGAAACGTCAGGGGCGCAGACAGGTGGCGGGTGATACAATGGGCTGTGGTACTGGCGTTGCTGCGCGCGCCGCTCGCGGGAGGGGCGGGAGGATGTTTCACGTGTTATGAAACGAACTTAGTCTAGGAACCGGGGTTTAGTAAGGGCCTAGGCTTAGTAGCCTAGGCCAAGCGGGTGTCGAGGTGGTTGTACCAAGGAGAATCAAGAAAATGGAATGTTTCACAATAGGTTTGCAAGAACATATAGCAAAAGAACATAGAGAAGGTGCACCACCAATGTAAGAAGGCATAACTACACTAAAGCTAATGCTACAGGCAGTTATAACATACATATAAAATATGTATCGCGACACACCCCCTTAACTGCCTGCAGCACATAACTTGAGCAAGTCACACCCCCGGAACCTGGGCAAGAGGTAGGAGAAGCAGAGGAAATAGCAACACAGATCAACCATGACAAATGCAACAACGACAGGTGCAGGACCCGAGAGGTGGGCGTGAGAGCAAGCGCCGTGGCCGCAACGAGCAGCTGGACAGCGTGGCTCAGCATCTCCGGGGGCGTGCCTACTACAGGCAGCAGGTGCAGTGATGGCAGATAGGGCCACAGTGACCTCAGCCACGGCAGATGCAGCAGCGACATGTGCAGGACCCGGCAGGTGGGCGTGAGAGCAGGAGCTGTGGCTGCAACGAGCAGCTGGACAGCACCGCTCAGCACCTCCGGGGGCGTGCCTGCTACAGGCAACGACTGCAAATGCCCGACTTACTTCTTCCACCCCCTTACCCGCCCACACAACCCCTCTGGTGCTGGCGGCTGGCACTTGTGCTGGTTCCTGGTGCTGGCGGCTGGCGCTGGTGCTGGTTCCTAGTGCTCGTGCTAGTTCCTGGTGCTGGTTCTTGGTGCTGGCGGGGTTCTCTGCTGGCGAGGTTCTCTGCTGGCGGGGTTCTCTGCTGGCGGGGTTCTCTGCAGGCGGGGTTCTCTGCTGGCGGGGTTCTCTTGTGGCGGGGTTCTCTGCTGGCGGGGTTCTCTGCTGGCGGGGTTCCTTGCCGGCGGGGTTCTTTGCTGGCGGGGTTCTCTTGCTGGCGGCTGGCCCTGGAGCTGGTGCTGGCGCTTGTGACTAGCGTCGGTGCTGGTGCTGGTGCTGGCGGCTGGCGGGTCCAATGGCAGGTGATGCGCGCTGGGTGGGACGGGGGTCTCTGCTGGCGGTGGCGCTGCTGGCGGGGTCTCTGCTGGCGGGGTCTCTGCTGGCGGGGTCTCTGCTGGCGAAGTCTCTGCTGGCGGTCGTTGCTAGCGTTGTAGCTGCTGGCGGTCCCGCCATGCCCTTCCCCTGCTTCCCTCTCCCCCACAGCGTTCGGCCGCCACTCCCTGCCCTTCTTCCGTCACCCCCCCCACAGCGACCGCCGCTGCATACGCGAACAAGCACGACGGGGGGTGGTGACGGGCAGGGGGCAGGGGTAATGCGACGGGCAGGGCGACGGCGGGATAAGGAGCGGCTGGGGCGACGGGAAGCAGGGCGACGGGCGACGGTGTGCGGACGGGTGGCGGGAATCTGGCGACGGGCGGCATGGATCTGGTGACGGGCGGCACGGATCTGGTGACGGGCGGCAGCGCGACGGGACCGGCGACGGGCTGCAGCAGCGGAAATCGCGCGGGTGGCGGGCTGCAGCAGCGGGTAGTGTGCGGGGTCGACGGGGGCGCAAACGACGGCGCGAAGCAGCGGGTCGACGATCGCCGTCACTCCCGCCGCGACCGTAGCGTCCGTCATGCCTACCGTGACGAATTTTGCTACGGGCGAGCGATGGGAAAGGATGAACGGGGCCGCGATTTGCTGGTTAACGGGACGCGCCATCGTGAAGGTTAACGGTGGGCCCTTCAAAAATACGTCGGGAACGACCTAGCTCTGATACCATGTTACGAAACGAACTTAGTCTAGGAACCGGGGTTTACTAAGGGCCTAGGCTTAGTAGCCTAGGCCAAGCGGGTGTCGAGGTGGTTGTACCAAGGAGAATCAAGAAAATGGAATGTTTCACAATAGGTTTGCAAGAACATATAGCAAAAGAACATAGAGAAGGTGCACCACCAATGTAAGAAGGCATAACTACACTAAAGCTAATGCTACAGGCAGTTATAAACATACATATAAAATATGTATCGCGACATCACGCCCAGCCAGCACCGAGACGGCCCGGAGCAGGGTTGGGACCCGGCGTCCCGGGACCCCTCCTGGGCTGGCTTTGGCAAGCGTAGTCGCCACCAGCTCCAGTGCATCGTTCGACATCGTAGGAACCGGCGACAACGCCAGCCATGGTCGGGCAAGCCGTAACTGTAGGAACCTCCGCGGAGCCGGGTGAGAGTGCAACACCAGTGACTACGGGACCGGGAGAACCAGCAGGTGCAGGCGGAGTCGAGATGGGAACGCAGGGAACCAGACAATCCGCGAGGCTGGGAACTATCACCTGGGGACTGCCACGGGGCGGGCGCACGTCGTGGATGCCGGCAGGCTGTGGGGGAACAAACGTCGCGGTAGTAACCGCAGGTGGCGCCGGGCGTGGGGGGCGCGGGGATGCGCGCGGTGGCCTGAGGGGGGGACGGGGTAGGCACAATGTGGTACTCAGATCTGAGATCCCGCTGCGAACGTGCACGTGACGGGAACGCCACAGTCGACCAGAGAGGGCAGCTGCCCCAGCGAATGAGGAAGAAGGCGAGTTTGACAATCTGGAGGCAGACCCTGGATTTATAGGTGGTGAGGCAGAGACATTGGAAGAAATCTCGCTGGAGGACGAGAATGATGCGGAAAGAAACAACCACACTGGTGGGTGAGGAGTAGGACGGATGGGGACGCAGCGGAGAATCCTGTGGAGGAGGGAGATGCGGCGACGGTGGACACAGACGTCCCGTCACCATCCGCACTGGCAGAGGATGACTCCATCTGGCAATTAGTAGGGGGGTGGAATGTGGACACCCTTAGGAGAGGTGACCAACCATTCCAGGTGCGCCGTCTGCCACCTCAGCTACTCGACCGTACTGTTTATGCATGCTCGCCACACTCATCCGTCTCCAGAAATATCCAACCTGCTAGGGGGGATGGACCGTCCTGCAATTCCTCCCTAGACTCACGCTCAGGCCAGCGCCAGAACCAGTCACTGGGAGCCGGTGGACATCCATCGAGGCTCGGCTGCATCAATTCCAACGTGGCGCTTGGGGGGAACTCTTCGAAGAGGCACGGCCCATCCCGGACAGAGACATCCTGCTACGCCACCAAGCTGATGAGGAGGGCCTTTCCGCTAGAGCAGAGGGACTGTTAAAGAAGGGTAACATTTCAAAAGCTGTTTCGGCTCTACAAACAAGCCCATTGGCTGAGCCAACCCCGGCCACACTAGAGGCGCTGCAAGCGAAACACCAAGCAGCCGGAACCCGGTCGTTAGCGTGGGTAACGGGGATCACCAGCTCGGACTTGACCATCGACCCCAGACACACTTCGCGAAATCTTGGCGAAATGCCCAAATGGAGTTGGGGCGGGGCCCTCGCGGACTTGTTTCGAACACCTGCGAGACCCGGCCCTGGCTAACGAAGAGCTACTCCTACTCCTTGCCAGAGAACTCCTCCTTCCCTCCCATCTCATAGCCCTCGAGAAGCCGAATGTTGGTGTGAGACTGATAACGATCAACGAAGCGTTGCTCCGCGTGGTAGCAAAGGCAGAACTTCAGTCCCTAGGCACCGAGATCAGAAAATTCTTCTTACCCGTGTAGTTCGACGTTTCAGTGCCAGGGGGAGCAGAATGCATCATCCACACCGATCGTGCCCTCCTTCGGGAAGATGAAAAGCGTATCGCCCTATAGCTAGATATTGGAAACGCTTTCAACGGCGTCGAGCGGCCGGATTTCATGGGGGCGCTGCAGTGGTCTAGCTGTAGCGAACTCCTACCCCTTGTCCGCAATCTCTATGACGGTCCTTCGCAATTGCTCGTCGATCCCCGCCTCGAAGTCGATCCCATCCAGAGCTCGCGCGGGGTTCGACAGGGTGACCCGCTCGGCCCACTCCTGTTCGCAGCAGCGATTTCACCCGCCCTCCTGAGTATCGCCACGACCATGCCGGAGGTGGCGGTGATCGCCTACGCGGATGACATCACCGTTGTGGGCCCGCGAGACGCGACCAGCTTGGCCTTCACCACAATGGCCAACCAGCTCGCATAGTGTGGGCTAAGGTGCAACATCGCTAAGTCTTCGGCATGGATGGCATCAGCGGAGGCGGAAAATGCTGAACTACTGCTAGGCTTAGTTGCCAGCCGGGAAGGCATTGGAGTTCTTGGTAGCCCTATCGGCAGCACAGACTACTGCACCGGCCAAGTGAGGGCGTTGCTGGAGGAGGCTGCTTCACCACTCCCCCTCATTAACCAGTTGCACCTCCAGGCGGCCCTGCTGATCCCCTCCCGCAGTATCTCTCGCTGCATCTCTTACCTGCTGCGGATAACACCGGCGACGGCCTTGAGCTTGGAGGAGTGGAGGGAGTGGAGTGAAGCATTGGTAGGCTCAGCCCTCACAGCGGCGAAGCTGCGTATCCCGACGTCGGAGCTGGAGCAGAGTTTTCTGTGGCGACAAGCGACTCTGCCCATCCGACTCGGGGGGCTGGGGATCATCGACCCAATATCAAAGGCGCCAGTGGCCCACACTGCATCGGTGACGGCTGCCCACTCCCTCCTGCAGCACCCGAGCCTTCCCCCTGACTGCCTGCTTCACAGGGCCATCACGCTGCTATCTCATGACTGGTCCCCTCCTCCGCCAGATTTCAACCCCCTGACCGCCTTGGAAGAGTGTCTCCCAAACCCTGCAAAAGCAGTCCTCAGTCACTACCGAACGGATAGCACAGGCACAGGTAGCCTACAGTTGGGCCTCTCCAAGCAAATCAACATGCAGCAGGCGGCAGACCTCTTGGGCGACACCGTCGTGGACCGGCCAGGCAGGCACAGGGGCCATGCAATCAAGCTGATTAGCCTGAAGGGGGCGGGAGCAGGCGACTGGCTCCATGCAGTTTTAATGAGGGCTGACCTTACTATCTCCCCTGGTCAGTTCTCCTTGGCCCTGGGCGTCCACCTAGGCATGGAACTGCCGGTCGCTGAGGTCTGCCCTTGCAAACGGCAGGGCTCGGCAATCTTGGACAAGAGCCTCCCAGACCATCTGCTACGCTGTCAAGTCGGGGGTGACGCTGTCCGGACCTACAATGCACTAGTGTACGCTGCAGTACGCATGGCGAATGAAGCTGGTTTCAAGACCTTTCATGAGACGTCGGCTTTCTCGCCTCCGGTCCTTAGCGGACCTAGCAATCCGGGATCAGGAATCAGGAGAAACTTCGGTGACTGACGTCACCGTGACAGACCCAGTGTTGCAGAACAGTGATGTGAGAGCACGTAGGCCGCCGGGGTGGGCGGCAGAGGAAGCTTCTCAGAAAAAAGATAGGCTGTACGAGGGACGGCGGCGGCAGAGGAAGCTTCTCAGAAAAAACATAGGCTGTACGAGGGGCGGCCGAGCTATGCTGGTTTCTTCGGGCTTGCAGTTGAGACTTATGGGGCGATGGCAGCTGACACCCTACAGTTCCTTCGAATGTTGGCTACCCACGCAGCAAAGAAGAAATATAGGCAGGGGAGGCTCACCACCACTGCTGCTCGCCTCACAGTGCACTATCGCCAGAGATGGTCGGTGATGCTGCAGCGCAGCCAAGCCATCTCCCTCCTGTCCAAGTCTAACCGTGCGGCGGAAGCGGCTTTCCTACAGGCAGCAGCGGACCCCTGGGCCCCACGCCTAGGGGACCTCTGGCAAATGACTTATGACGAGTACGAGGACAATGAGCCTCTGGCCAGGGCGGCTTAGAACAGTGTGGGGCGGAGGAGAGACAACGGGTGGCTGGGTGGAGGGGTAGGGAGGAGCACACAAGTTGGGAGGGACTTGGGGGACTTGGGGATGTGGTATAGGCTATACTGGGACGGTGGTCATGGCTCTGGCTCAGGCTCGGGCTGGCTTTGGGGTGCTTGTGTGCTTGTCATTTTCTCGCTTGCTTGCATGTTCGGCTTGCACGTATGCTGGTGCCTTAGCATCCTCGGCCATGCTTGTCTAGCTTAGCTTAGCTTCCCATGATGCCTTGAATGCCTGAACCTTATGATCCATATCAATACATGACTACTTGAGGAGAGGAGAGGAGATAAGAACGAAGGAGGAGGTGAGAGAGGGATGAGGAGAGGAGGTGAGGAGGCGTGGCGAAACCCTCGTACTAACCCCCTTTTACAAAGGGGGAGGTGAGGGAGTGATGAGGAGACGAGGTGGGAGGGAGCCAAGCGCGGTGAAACTTCTCTTACTATCCTCCAAATCCCCTCACCCATTCAACCATCCCCTTTTACCTCACCCCCCATTTCAGCCGCCCCCTGGAACCGCACCCACTCCCCCCCTTCCTTCCTCCAGCCCCTGCCCCACCCACAGTAGTCCCTGCACCGATCGTCACAGTGCGGCCTGCCCCCTCTCCCCCACCCCCTGTCCCCGCCACCTCCCCACACAGCAGCTGCTGCGGGAGGGGAGAGACAGGGAAGAGGGTGGTGCTGTAGTGGCTCACAACGGCCACCCCTTCCACACCACCTCAGCCCCCACAGCCGTAGTCGCACAAGGGAAAGCGATGAGGTAGGGGGAGAGGAGAGAGGGACGGGCGATAGTGCGGCTGTTGTTGGCGGACGTCGCGCCGTTACCCCCTTCCCCCCTTCCTC